AGGATAAATCTCCCCAGATCTATCCAACGGTTGTGAAGATTCTAAACTAACACGGTCTCATATGTGTCCAGTTTAAGAGTATTACACAGAAACACACCATAATAACATGAATCARATATGTACTTTATTCATTTACATTAAATGTCATAATGTACATCATTCTGATTGGAGCTAAGGGCTTACACTGTCTGACAGTCCTTAGTTTCATGCATGCACCCAAAGCAGCTCACCTATAAGCAACAGACAAGGTTCTTATGTGCCTGAAGAAATTCCTAGGGACAGGTCTTTTCTTCAAGAAGTATGGACATATGAGAGTTGAGATTTACACTAATGCTGATTGGGTAGGTTATGTGAATGATAGAAAATCCACAAGTGACTATTGTACCTTTGTGGGGGGAAATCTTGTTACTTGGAGAAGTAAGAAACAAAGTGTAGTTGCCAGATCTAATGCAGAAGCAGAATACAGAGCCATGTCTCAAGGAGTTGTTGAAATATTATGGATTAAAAATCTTTTAGGTGAATTGGGTTTCTTCTTGATGGTCCCATGTCACTCTACTATATTGCTGCTATCAATATTGTAGCCAATCCTGTTCTCCATGATAGAATCAAGCACATTGAGGTAGATAAACACTTTATCAGAGATAAATTGGAGAAGGGAGAAGTGTGCACTCTGTATATTAGCTTTGAAGAACAACTTGCAGATGTTCTCACCAAGGGATTGAACTCCTTGTGGCATTATGATCTTTGTGACAAGTTGGGGATGATTGATATCTACGCCCCAATACTTGAAAACCCAAGCTGGGGCTGAACTACAGCTCAAACAAGAGAGAAAGAACCAAAAAGACCACTACAGAAACAGCCCCCTTCTTTTTTATAAGACTCAAGGAGAAGCCAATTAAAATATTTGCAAATGAGCCCCTAGAATGTTTCCCTTTCACAAACAACTCTTTAAGAACAAAGCTAACTTCAAACAAATCCCCCAAAAGAAAACTTTTGTTACAAAAAGACCCAAGAGACCAAAACCCAATAGATGTGCACCCAACTACCCCTAACCAGAATCTAAATTATAAAATGACGAGAGTACCCCTGGACCCAAACTGTCAACAAAGCTACCCAAAAATAACAATTTGGAATCCTACTACAAAAAAAAACATGCATTTTTTTCTTCTCTTTCTTTCTTTTTTTTTCCTTTCATTTTTTTGGTCTCATCAACTTTTGTCTTTTCTCCTTATTTATTATGTTCAACTTCTCTAGACTATAAATATAAAGATGATGCTGCCAGCCAATACTTTTTGCCTCTCTAATCTTTTCTCTTCTTCTTAATAAAATTTTCCTTTTTTTTATTACCAAAAAACTTCTATCTGTACATCTCTAGATTTTAATGGCAGTTCTCCAAGCTACTCAACAACATCTGAGCAGAATTTAAATTTTTCTTCCTCTCCTATAATGGACTGAAACCTATAATGAACAGAAGAGGCAGAGCAAAAAGCGAACCCCTAGCTGCTCCTCCACCATCATAAAAAGCCCAGCCCTTGCAAGTTGCATTATCCTGCTGGATATGAACATCAATATACATTCTGTCCATTTGTAGCTTCTCTATCTAGGGAATCAACTAGAGAATGTGAAGACCTTAAGATTCAAGAAAGAAGCATGAAGACTTCTAGCAAAAACCATTACTTCTCTAATTTGATGGTAATGCTACCAAGGGCCCATTGTGAAATTCCTCATCCACCCAAAAATGATGCGAATTTCCTTTTACACCTAAAGTGACTCCCATCCTTGAGCCTTGTAAAATAGATTATCTCACTCAAGTGAATTGCCCACCCTACAATGTCTCCATGGGGGAACCAACAAATCAAAGGGTCAAATAGTTTGAATCTTTGGGTCAGGTTGCCTTTTGGCTTATAATTCCTACTTTGCAGCTTCCCTTATGCATGATATTAAGAAAGAATGTCTTGTTGCTGACCTGTTGGTTAATGATGATTGTCAAAAACTTCTGTCTGGGGAAACATAGTTGCTCATAATTTGTATTGTTGACCTATTTCTTTTGTTGTCAATAAAAAATTAAAAAAAGAAAACTTATGGAACATAAAGGGATGATTGTTGTACATACGTTATGTCTACTACAATATTGTTTTTGCTTTCCCTGTTAAAGAATTGCTCAAGATTTAATTATTTAAATAAGCTCCATCTCTGTTCTGCACATTAATGCGTGAAGGTTGTCATGTCTGGAATCTATGTCTATGTTAGAAGCACTCTTGTGTTAACCATGTTCTTTTGTCGAAARTTATAATTGCTTGAAAACCTCACAAAGAATTTTAAAAATGATTTTTTTATACGTAACGGTGAAATCTTTATTAATTAAACGACAAAGAATCCTTAGATTCTATAAATGCTAGTGAGTAACCTTTTTGGTATCTTATTTAGTGAAATTTGATAATTCACAGTTCAGTAGTTTTCACATGCAAACATTTAACTCGTCAAATAGGTTGATGGAGGAGCCAGCTGCTTATGGAAAGTTGGGACTGGCCAACCTTTTGGAACTGAGGGAGGAGTGCTTGAGGGAATTCCATTTTGTTGATGCCTATAGAAGCATAAAACAGAGGTAGTGACATAATAATAACAGCTATTTTCTTTTATAAACATGTGGATTATTTCTTTGTCCTGAACACAGATTTCTATGCATGCATGCATGCATGACATAAACATTTCTTGTTCTCTTCTCTTTTACCATAACTGGTAATCCTGGATAAATCATCTTTGGGGGTTAGTTTCTTGTATCAATAGATGTCTCATTTATTTACTTTTCTACTGAACTGTTTGTAAATAAGATTCCTGGACAATACTGCATGTATTACAATCTCTTCTTGTAGAGAACACTGATGTGGGCCCCACTGCAGTGGTCYCCACTGTGTTCGTAGGACAGCATGTGTAGTTATTTGTTCCAGTTATAGTAGTGTTAGTTTGAGTCAGTTTGTTAATTCAGTTGTTATTTATTTCAGCTTTTATTTACTTTATTTATTATGTAAGTACTAAGGG